GCCCCGCGCGGGCACAGCCCCGCCCCGCGCTCCGCCCCGCGCCTCACCAGCCTCTCCAGGGCATGCGCGGCTGCATCCTGCACGCTCACAAACAGCTGCTCTGGGGTCACGCTGCTCAGGAGCCCCGCGCGGGTCAGGGTCGCCAGCACTGAGGCTGTGCCACCGGGAGGTCAGCCGCTGGCCCCAAGTGCACGCGCCGCCTCCCGCAGCCTGGGCTCAGCCCCGTCCCGGCGCGCGCTCACCGTTGCACTGCGCCAGGAGCAGGAGGATCCCGGTGTCGCGGCAGCGGCCGGCCAGCTGCGGGCAGGCGGCTCCAGTCAGGGGCTGCGCTGGCCAGGGCCTTGCCCTCGCCCCGCCCAGCGGCGCTCACCTGTACCACCTCTCTGGCCCCCGTGGCGTCCACGAAGGTGACTCCGCTGCAGTCCAGCACCACGGCTCTGACCGGCTGGGCAGCTAGGGCAGGAGCAGGTGGCGGTGGCCAGATGCCTCCATGGGCCACGCCAAATGACCCATCTCGTCCTCCCATCTCACCTGCCTCGGTGGGGCCAGCTGTCTCCAGAGCCTCCTGCAGGCCACCCTGGGGGCTCAAGGGTGAATGAGACCCCCTGAGCACAGGGCTCAGCCCCGGGGCAGCCCTGCCCCTTGCCCCTGGCTGCCAGGTGAGGTGCCCTCTGGCCAAGGCCCTCACCTGGTGGGGTCCTTCTCCAAGCCCCAGGTGCTGCTCCAGGGTGCGGCGAAACTGCCCTCTGGTCCCAAAGTAGAGAGGTGCCGGGTGGCTCAGGACGCAGAGCCCGGGGACCTGGAGGAGCTGAGGGCCCGGGGTCAGACGCCCGCCACGCCCTCCCCACCCTGCTGGGGCTGCAGCTCACCCACCTTGCGGCTCTCTCCGAGTGGCCTGTAGAGCTCCGTCCCCTCGGCCAGTCCCAGCGCCAGGCACTTCGTCCTGGGGGGAGCTGGGGTCAGCCTCCCGGCCTGGCCTGGCCGGAGGGTTCCCTCCTGTGCCTCCCACCCCCTGCTCTCACCTCCGGGTTCGGCAGACCACAGTCATCATAGAGAAGACCACGCCCACAGCCAGGCCCAGGTCCACACTCAGGGTCACGATAGCCACCCAGGTGACCATCCACACAGCCTGCCGGACGGGGTGGGAGTGAAGTGCCAGGAGAGAGGCTGCGCCGTCGCTGCCAGGACAGGGGTCTAGAGTAACAGCCGGGCGCAAGATGGGCAGGGGTGGCCCAGAAGTAATAACATCTGGAAGGAGTGGGGCTCACCCCGCAAGGGGTACACACCAAATGTAACCACCCAGACCCTGCACCAGCAAGTCAGAAGATTCAGGCCCGAGGGGTTCAGCCCCACCCTTCACCTGCCTCTGAGTCAAGGCATTGGGGGTGGGTGGGTCCAAAGTTTAGGGTCAGGACAGTTAGCTTTGCTCCAGGGCCGAGGCTGGGGTGCCAGGCACGGGAGGGGCCCTCTGGGGGGAACAACGCCGTCTCTCACAAAGTCCACGCGGCTGACGCGCCACAGCTGCGGAAGCTCCTGCATCTGGAAGAACAGCTGGCGCATGCTGGACACGTTGATGCAGGCCAGGACCGCCTGGGGCGGGGGCGGGGTGTTGATCAGGCGGGGGCAGCCAGGGCCCCACAGCCACTCCCCCGGCCACCCACCCACCTGCTCCTCACCTTGGGCAGGTAGTAGAGGTAGGGCCCGAGCCACAGCATCACCGACAGCACCACCGCGCAGGAGAAGAGGCCTGCCAGCTGGAGGAGGGAGGGTGGGCCCAGGTGAGAGCTGGGGTCGGCCGGCCCTGCTCCCCAAGTCGCCCCCTCCCCACCGCCCACGGCCGCCCCTCCCCTCACTCCTCAAGTCCCACGGTGAAGTCCTGACCGCCACATCCGCCCCTAGCCGTGCCCCAGTTCCATGCCTGTCACCGGGGTGCCCTGGGTCTGAGCCCCGCCCCGTCGCCACCTGTCTGAAAGCCACTGTGGGGTTACCCCAACAGGCAAACTAACCAATTTTGGGCCACCAGCAAAGTAAACCAAAAGTATCAGGGGGAGACCTTGACGTGTGCTATTTCTTAAAAAAAAAAAGTCCTTATGAGAGGAAAAACCAGTTTTCTCCCTAATGTAGCTTCCAGCGTACTTGTGTTTTTATTTGGAACTGCGCGGGCACCCGAACCCCGGGCGCCCAGGACCTACTAGGGCGCCATGGGGGTGCTGCCCTCTGTCCTGCGAGACCAGGCCTCGCCTCCCTCCCTCCCTCCGCAGAGCCCCGACCCCGGACCCCACCACCTCCCACCTGCTCCCTGCCCACCACCACGGCGCTGCTCACCCAGGAGCCCGCTCACCTGCGTGTTGCCCCCAGCGTCCACCAGTAAGCTGGTTGTGGCCAGTGTGGCCGAGTTGGGAAAGCAAGAGAAGAGGGACGAGATGAGGTTGGAGACTCCGTGCGCCATGAGCTCCTGGGGGTGCAGCGAGATGGGGGCTCAGGGGCGGAGCGGGGCCTCGCGCGCAGGGGCTGTCTCCTGGGTGGGGCCCGGGTCAGAGTCCCACCTGGTTGGAGTCGATAGTGTAGCTGTACTTGTCGGCATAGATGGAGGCCAGGGAGGTGGACACAGCGAAAGTGACCAGCGCCACGGCCAGCGAGTCGGCCAGAACCCTGGGCACCTCAGCCAGGCTGGGGAGCAGGGGCTGGGGGAATCTGGAGAGAGGGGCCACGGAGGGCGGGGCGGGGCTAGCGAGCAGAGGAGAGAGAAAGCGGGGTGCACAGGGCGCCACAAGGGGAGCCGTGAGCCAGCAAGCCGGCCACGCCCGTCCTTTACCCTCCGGGCAGCAGCCCCACTATCTGCACGTCGTATCTCGTGTCCAGGGAAGAGGCGAAGCAGAGCGCAGAGGCCAGGAGCACCTGGGAGATGGCACAAGTCAGGGCGTGGGGGCGGGTGGGGCAGGGCCCGCGGCTGAGGAGCGGACCTGCGGCCGCGGGCGTTTGCAGCGCTGGGGAAAGAAACAAGCGCCGTGGGCGTGGGAGCGGGGCGCGGGGAGCCCTGGAGCG